TTTTTTTTCAAATTTCAAACAACATATATACGTTCAGGGAAAATTAATTTCACCTACCCCATTTGGAATCACACACTGCCCAATACGGTGCCGTTTCGGGTCCTTGCAAATTTTTATCTTCCTTTTCAAGAATCATACAGCTCACTACTCACCAGTCACCAACCTTTACTAAAAACAACTGAACAAATTATATACACGTTACCAGTGTACGCATGATTCTTAATCTCTTCATATTCAGTGCGTTAATGGAGTGAGTGGATCGAGTGCGAGTGGGGTCCATTTGGGTTGCCATGCGCGTAGGGAACTAACCTAACTCGGTAATGGGCCTTTGGTGATGATTTTATTCCGGTGGTTTTTTACTTTCATCTCAATCAATCCTTTTTACTTGCAAATATATCTACTGCTTTTCTTGGCTCAAAGAATTTTGTTTTCTAATTTCTACCCTCTGTGCTCAGATGGGTGTGTCCCTCTTTATTTATGATTTTGTGGGTTGTTGAACAAATCTGTAGATTCGGACTCCCAGCTTGAAAAAGACTGTATTTTTCTTTAGGTATAGAAAATTTTAGATCTGAACCACATTTTACCATTAGTTCATTCAGTTCTGATGTTCATCTGCTCTGAATTTGTGTGCGTAGGTTAGTTGTCGGTAGCTGCTATATTTTGTGGGTTTCGTTGCAGATCTTACAGAATTTCTGAAATATTGTTGTTTTCTGAACTATTGACTTAAAAGGGTTTTGTCATTCTTGGTTGTTTTGTCTGGAAATGAAGGAAAAATATAGATTTTTTGCTTCCGGCAGTTGTAAATCTGATGTATATCTTCTGTTTTTAGCTAGATGTTTATGGCGCTGGTGTGTAATCAGTATTTAAAATAAACTACTTGGATTGTTGTTATTTTTTCCCCTGGTATGATCTTTAAGTTTTTCGTGTGGCATTTGGTTTTTATAGATGCCAAAATCATTTCTTGTATGTTATTACTTTGGTGGGCTGGTCTTAACAAGTTGCTTTTTAGTTTATCTTTTACTTTGGTGGTTTTTATAGTGGCCGTGTTTGCTTAGTTGAACAGTTTCTGCTTTCTCAGATCTTGCTTTCTCCATCTTGATTTGTACATACATCAATGGCTCAGCATATCACTTTGCTAAGAGTATTTTTTCTGTGAAAATGCAGGGGTTTAATTAAAATTAGCTTAGTTTGTTGCTAGCACTCGACTGTCATGGGGAAATCTCCCGGAAAATGGATCAAGACTGTACTCTTTGGGAAGAAGCATTCGAAATCTAATTTTTCTAAGGTAACCAACTCTTTCGAAATGCTATTACAATATTTTCTTTATCTTCACCCTACGTTTAAAAATTCATATAATTATCACTACTGCATGTAGTTAGCTTAATCAATCGAATTCTTTCAGAAATTTTACAACTGCCGGAAACTTGGAATCATTACTTGACCGCTATCATGCTTGATCTTGGAAAATCCATACTATTGGCCACCTTTTGAAAATTTATTCTGCTTTAAGACATTCTCTATGTTCTAGTTTTATATCTCCGTAACAAATCTAATATTGGCTTTTACAACTAATATTATGTATAAAGAATGTCACGCCTGACAAAAAGACGGTGGAAAATCTATCCCAAAACCCCCCCGTGATATCAGATCCTTCCCAGCTGACTGATAGAGGTGTCGACTCCTTAGAGCTCGAGAATGAAAATCATGGCTTGGCTTGTGATGCCATTGCTTCATCTCCATTGAATCAAGATTTAGATTCCAAAAGTGAAAAAGGGTCGGGTCCTGTAGTTGATGCTGATATGAGTAGTCAAAATCTAGCTGCAGCAAAAGTTCAAGCATCCTTCAGGGGCTATTTGGTAATTCTCTCTGGCATGGCATTTTTTACAGATAGTACTCCTTGAGTTCTGTGTGCTCCTCACATATTTCTCTGGAGCTTTTACTTTCACTGAGGAACTTTTAACTCCGTGCTGTAGGCTCGTCGGGCTTTCCGAGCTCTCAAGGGTATCATAAGGCTGCAAGCTCTTATCAGAGGGCATCTGGTTAGGAGGCAAGCAGTTGCCACTTTGCATTGCATGAAGGCAATTGTCAAGTTCCAAGCAATCGCTCGTGGGCATAAGGTTAGTTTTTTCTGATATGTTTGGCTTGAAGTGTAAAAGAAGTAGTACAATATGGATGGCTTCATATTACCTAGATTTTTTTTTTTTT